CTAATAAATATAAATGTAAAATTAAAAATTGATTATTTCCCTCATTATAATATGAACCAATCAAAAGCCTTCAATTTTCGAATAAATTTCGTTTAAATAAGCGATAAAATCACTAGAACTATTTAACAGCGATTAAATTTTAGCCTCCATATTGGATTTTTGTTTACGATTTTATGGTGTTATTTACAAGTTTTAACAAACATTTTTTTAAAAAACAATAAAAAATAAGTTATCTATTTTACGAAATATCAATTATTACTTATTACATACCTTAAATTAATGGAATTTTCTGTAAAAAAATATTTATAAATTTTGACACATACGTCAGATTTTATGAATTGTCAAATAGTTTCTTTTAATTCGAGAAATAATCTAGACGTATATCACTCAACCTATAAATTTAATCTGTCAAACTATGCTCAGTAAGTTTTTTATTTGATTTTACTTTTTGGAAAATAGTTTCATGCAAAATAATTAAAAATAAAACCCCTCGACCGCTACGCGGTCTCGTGATTTTATTAAATTATTTTGCATTCAACATTTTCCAACAAAAACCAAACAAAAAACTACTGAGTCTAGTTTAACCGATTAAATTCATAGTTCTCCTGATATAATATATGATTAAAATTAAAAATGTTTATATTATTTTGTAAAAAACCAGGGTTTGTAAATATTTTAACAAAGGAAAATATTTTACCGAAAGTTTTGTAAATGTAATATGCAATTTTGTAAGCATTTTGTTAACTTCAAAGGTTACAGATTATTTTGTTAATGTTTAACAAATTATTTCGTTGAAAAAGTACACCTGATTTCAAAACATTTCCCACTGACAATTCGTATCAACAAGTTCAACTGACTTTAGCGTCTCAACTTATGTTTCTGCTTACTTTATTCTAATTCCTAACGTGTTCGTAGTCGAAATACATCAGTAAGTGTTCTAGTAGTACTGATAATTATATTTTACCAAATTTCTTTATAATTTGATAAATTCAGAATGGTTTGTTATTAAATTTTGTTTATGTTATTTTTGTGTCCATTTATGTAGGTATGTGTTAATTTTTTTGTTTAGGAAATTAATTAATAAAGAAATAATTCTTATCAAAATTAGGTATTTTCATTTAAGTTCCCAATTTCCAACAAATAATTTTGTTACTGGGTCTACAAAAAAGTTTGTAAAAAGAGTTATGGTTGAATTATGGATGTATGATTTTGTTCTTATATCTACAAAATGTTTGTTATATTTACAAACTACCCATTAGTTAACAGAGTACAGTTGGTTAACTTAACATAAAGTTATGTGGACATGAATTAACATAAAATCTGGTTAATATTTGGTTAAAATTAACAAATATTTTTTTACTGTGTAAGCTTATATTTTTGAATATTTTATAAACTAAAATAATCTCTTTTATAATGTATAATACAATGCACACATTGTAAAATATAAACGTTGCTTGCAAACACATTCTTTGCATTATTATTTTTTTGCTCTTCTGCACTGAAAACATTTGTACAAACAGAAAATTAAAATAATTCTTTATAAGGCAACCTTTTACGTTCGGTATTTAAACCCTTTTAGCAAAGTTTAAATTGCTCTCAGGTATTCACAAAGTATTTGACTTTTATGCATGCATTTAAAAAAAGTTTTCAATGAATATTTAAGCGATTTGGAAAAGGGAAGATTAATTTAGTAGGCATTACTTTTGCAATTAAAAATAAAAAGTTTTAAAAAAGTTTTTTAATTATTAATAATTTGTTAATGGTTATGGATTAGGCTGTTTTGTTCTCGAATGAAAAAAATTTAAATTTTAAAAGGTCCTCATAACTATTTATTATTATTTTATAACATGGACACCTCATAAAAAAACTACGCTAAAGAGGGTTTTTTCAATAGCATAGAATTGTCAACAATACATTTAAAGCATAGGAACTTTTCATAATTTTTAAATAAATAAGTAGTTTTTCACACAAGAATAGCAGAAGTCTTACTCGACAAATTTTGTTCAATTGCACAGTTAAATCGCACACGTCATTGGTTTTTATTTAGCGTTGCGAGTAAATACTAAAAAACTTTGGTTTAGTATTTGAATTTGATTTATTATTCCTTATTAATACACGGTGTGCCTAAACAAGTCTCAGGTCACATAAAAATGTCAACCAAAACGGATTGTATTTTTGGAATATGCATCTATTCCTCACTCCAAAGCCATATTTTTCAAAATCATAGCTGATCCTCTTTTTTGTTTTTTTGCAATTTTCTGGATTATCCGCTAAAATATTAGTATAACCTAGGTATTAATTTTCAATAAAGAATCAAGAATTAAAATATAAAGAGAGTCGAAAAAAAATTCACTATTTATATTTTTCCATTTTTTTATAAATCAATCAATTTTCTAATTTGACAAGAGACTAGAGAAAAAAAGTTTTTTCACAATTTAATTTTTATTAATAATAGTATTCTTTTAATTTATTAAACAATAATGATACCTAAAATTACTTTACAGAAAATTATGAATCATTTACAAATTGTTAGAACTTAAGTCTACTACAGCTTTTTTTTTAAATGTTCACCATAATCAGGATGTTCAAGTAAATTGATTTTATACTTTTTCCAGTATTTTATAAACTCGCGAAGGATCGACTCCCCAGCCTGCTCAGACCATGTGCCCAACCCAGCACCGTTCAAAAATCTAATACAATCTTCCGTAGACAATCTTCGTTAGACTAATAGAAGTATTTTTGCGTGAAGATGATGAATTATTAGATTTTAATACTCGGGTCTTGAGAACTGAAGAAACGACTTGTTCTTGAGTTTTCGGCGTAATTTTTTTTATAATATTGACGACATTTCCATTTCTTTCTGAATTCGTACATACATATGTTTCTTTCCTTTACCAACTCTTGTGAAACAGATTTTGCCCAAAATAATTTTATTTTTGGTATCCTGGGCCCTTTTTTCCTTTCTTTTTCCCTTCCTCGTGTTACCTTTATTTGAATATTGCTGTTGTGCATATTCTGCACGCACACACATCATTTTGGATATTCCTAGTAGAGTTTGTAATAACATTTTCTTTTTCAAAGTCTGGCATTTTCACCATCTTGCGTGTTTTAATATTTTTTTCATATTCGCAAAGAGTATGTCTTCATGTACAGCAAATTGCAGTTAAAAACTTGAAATTGCTTAAACTATATTTCGGATTACTAAATTTATGAAGCAATCTTTCCAATCTTGCAGTTATTACAAACATGCTATTGGGCAGGGATTTTCCAAAAATTATCTTTTCACCGCATCGGGCACAGACTATACATCTTTTTTTTTCATGGTTAAATTTAAATCTTGCGTTTGTAGTCATTTTTATTTCAAAAACTTCAAAATTATCGAGAGAACAATTCTCTATAACCCATAGATACTATTAACTGTGACTGATAACAAATTACTGCGTATAAATTGTTTTTTCGCTGAGGCATGGCCTACTTTGTTTAAAAAACTGCTAAAAGCTGTGTAAGCGTGTTAATAAGGTAATTGCACCATTGCACCTTTTTTCATGCAGATGTATTTTGAATAGCTACAGAAATTAAAATAATCTTATCTTATCCTATTCACCCAAAGGATATCCATTTTTGAGTAAGTATTGATCTATTTAATATATTTTAAATAGATCAATACTCACTCAGAAATGAATCTACCAATTATATAGAATGACAATCATGTTATAAATCTAATTTAATTAAGCCGATATTCAGGTTTCTTATTTTTTTTTTTAATCCAGAAAATCACAAAAAAATAAAAAAGAGGATCAGCTAGGATTTTAAAAAATGTTTTGGAGTGAGGAATAGATACATATTCCAAAAATACAATCCGTTTTGGTTGATATTTTTATGTGACCTGATCCTTGTTCAGGCACACCGTGATTGATTAAGAAACTCAACGGTTATATGCTTAAATAGTTACGTAAGCGTGTGTATTATATCTATGTGATCATGGTGTTTTTAATTGTAAATAAAATTTAAGAACTAAATCGTTGCATTTTCATGTTTTGCCAAAGGATCCAATTTGATATGTATATTTGTTGGTGCAGATTTAACTAATGATAACTTTACCTAAAATAATTTATATTTTAAAAAGTCGATACAGGTGGAAAGAAAAATTAGTGATGAAAATGCATCGGTTCAAGAGAATAGTACATTCTGTAACAAGTTTGGAATACAGCATATTCCGCTCGAGGAAAAGTTTGACACACGAGCCGAAGGCGAGTGTGACGGTTTTACGAGAGTGGAATATGCTATTCCAAACGTGTTTCAGACATTATTTTCTCTACGACTACGTAAGAATAGTAACGCTTATATAATTTTATACAGAGAAAAGAAACCAAGCAGTTTTTGACATTTAAGTTTTTTGTATTGTCAAACCATTTTGTGCCGTCACAATTTTATAATGTAAATTATAATAAATTTAAACAAATGGTATGCCTAAATCTTTATTATAATTAAAAATAGTTATTTACACTAACTAATTTTACAAGTAATCTATGTCAACATCTATTCTTTTTCTACATTTTAAAGGTCTTTTTTTAAACTTTTTGAATCTGTCAAAACTTCAAAGCCGGTATAGTAGGTAACTGGTTTATCATTTTAATATCAAATTTATTATAATTTTGATTTGTATATTTGAAAAACAATAAATATAATTAATTTTTTGTGCCTAAACCTTAATTATACAACTGCTATTATTTTTTAATTAAATTAATACAGTAATATTTAAATATTTTTAAATTTTTTACGTTTAGTAAACAGCCAGGAGATGTCGTTACTTGTGACCATTCTTAAACAAGAGTAGGAATATTCTCGTACAGTATTGCAGAAAAACATCCTTTCTATGATCAAAAATTACACTAGAATGTTACTATTCTTAAGTAGTCGTAGAGAAAAACATTTCCACGATTACGTCAGTAACTGTAGTTATAAATAATGACTTATAGAAGAAATAAAAATGTACTTACACTATCAAAATCAATGGAAAAGTGACATCCTCATATTCCCTTAACACCTGCGGCATATACAACCTCACTTGCGCTTTATATCCGAACTCGATCTCCACGGAAATCGTTTTTATCTGAGGCGGCGAGAATTTCTTCACCTTCCTCCTCAACTTCACGCTGCTGTCCAGTACTGCCAACCTTTGGTTGGTCAAAGTCCTGGCCAGCGCGACAATCGGTATGTCCGGCCCCAGGCATTCTTGGATGTAATACTTGAAGTTTTTACTGAATATCACGTTGTTGTATTCGCAGTCGTAGTCCAGGAGAAGAGCTTTCGAAGTCTGCGTGTCGTTCATTGCGTCTGCTAGGGTGCTGTTCGGGTCCAGTTCCAGTTTGCATGTGAGGCAGAACCACTCGGGAACGATGCCGTCGGTGATTTTGATCAGGTGGCGGACTCCTGGGGTGTTTTCCGTGGTAGCGATGGCATAACTGAAAATAAAAAGAAGTTCATTATTAAATTTATAATTTTTAAGTACACTGTTATAAAAATTAGATTTTGTACACAGTAAAAAATTTTGCCCGTGTAAATTTTTTAGTGTAGGGGTAAAAATATTAGAGTTGATTTGTAAGTGTAAAAGTTACACTACAAAATATACTAGGTAGCATTTAGTGCTTATTAACTTTATTAAACACATTTAAAGAATATGCACATTATTCATTGGTACATTCACACTATTTATTATTAAAATAAATCAAAAGGGTAGAAAAACTTAATGTGACTGTTTATTACCCCTTAATGTGTTAAATAGTGACAAAATGTACACTACAGTGCATGACAATTTCTTTGTCAGTTTTGATGTTACTAAGAGCTCTTTTTTCTTTACACTACTAGTACACATTAAAGTTAAATTATTAAGTATTATACCTTTTTCTTTAAACCATAATACTCAATAAATACCAATATGTTAAAAGGATGTCCATACCCGACCTATATTATATATCAATAATTTACGGCAGTAGGTCGGGTACTTGTAACATTAATAATATAAATACATACACACTTGATTAACTTTTTATTTTCAAGCGTAATGGTTGTTATATTAACCTATACCTACATTTTATTAATATTATGGAAAACTTGTACACGTGTGGTAAATCACCGACATACAGCCGCCTGACGCCTCTCTACCAATGGAATCACCCATTTTTTATAACAGAAAAATGGATTACTGATGAATTCTCAAGATAATTCATTTCTTACAAGTTGACAGCGAGTAAAACATTGCATTGACTTTTACGTTTTAAGGAACCATTTTGCTTAAGCCAGCCATACGACTCAAATATAAAATTATATTTTAAAAGGCATTTTGATAATTGTCATAGATTTTTGTTCCAAATAAATGTTTCTCTTTATTTACCTTTTCGTTTTATTCACTACCACCAATAGGTTTTACTTAAATAATAGTGTTAATTTACACTACAAGTTTGCACTAAAAGAGTAGAAGTACCTTTCTAAAATTAGAACTTTTCCAAAGTAGTGTTAATTTACACTGAACAAAAGTGGGATTTTACATAGGAAGTGTAAAACTACACGATTTTAGGTAAATTAACACTTTTTAATACAGTGTAAAATTACTTTATACTCAGTGCTATAGTGTTAAATCATACTTGCTTACTACAAATTAACACTAATTGTAGTGTTATAAAACAACACTATTTAGTGTGGACCTGTGTGAACTCTAATTAGTGTTGTTTAGAGTTGATTTTTTTTTACTGTGTAGTTTGTTAATTTAATTTTTTTAAATTTTAACAGAATTTTTTGTAGAAAACCAGGATTTGTAATTATGTTAACAAAGGAACATATTTTACCGAAAGTTTTGTAAAGGTAATATGCCATTTTGTAAGCATTTTGTTAATTTCAAAGGTTACAGATTATTTTGTTTATATTCAATTTTCTTAGTTTCTTTAAGAAACTTTCTTGACCCATCACTGGTAATATTCATAAGAATATAAGAATATTACCAGTGATGGGTCAAGAAAGTTTCTTAAAGAAACTAAGAAAATTGAATGTTTACCTTAATGTTTAGCCCGTTTGGGTTAATTCTAGATTCCTTTAGGCCATATTAGTATCTGTGATACAATTGCTGTGTGCAGTCCCGGTTGCATAGTATGTACCGATTGCAGCAAAGGCCACGTCGTTTGACGGTGTGGATCACCTGATGTTCTTACATCTCGCCTCTGTTGACTTAACAACCGAGCATATAAGCTGAGGGAGTAATTTGTTTTGATTGTGTTCCACTACACCAAGTTGCCCGACACTGATGAGACCCAATAAAGGTCGAAACAGCTGTCTGTCGGTATTTGAAGTTGGTGGAACGCATTCGAAACAAAAAACTTTGGCGAGGTGTAGGTTCAATTTTTTCTTATATTCTTATTTTGTTTATGTTTGACAAATTATTTCTTTGAATAAGTACACGTAACGTGATTTCAGGCAGTCAATGAAAACATTTCCCACTGACAATACGCATCAACAAGTTTAACTGACTTCAGCGTCTACAACTTCTGTTTCTGCTTACTTTAATTTAATTCGTAACGTGTTCGTAACAACTGTCCATAGTGTTTATAAAGTATTAGCAGAAATCTGTTATTATTGTTATTCGGATTCCTTATTTGAGGAGTGATTTTTCAAAAGGTCGTATAGGTTAGGGCGATATAGATTATTAAAAAAAAAAATTCTGATGAATATATAATACTTTTTCAGACCTGCAGTCGTATTGGTTTATTTAAATATTTAAAGCAATGGTATTTTTTAAAATTATTTGGAAATAAGACCTTTTATATGAAATCATTTTGGAAATTTGCCTTTTTGCTGTGTACAAACTTGGAAATATTACTTTTTTATTAAATTCCGTTTTAAAAAAATATATGGAAAAATATCTTTATTGTGCCAGCAATATTAAAAAATATTTAATTTTAAGGATATCCATCTCTGGCTGATTACATAAACACATCACTTCTTCATTATATTCTTGACATTCAAAATCTTGTGCTACATATTCACCATTTAATATATGCCTTTTAACCATACCTTTATGATTTTGTCGAAAAATGACATTAAGTAAAAATGGAAATACGGCCTTTTGATAAATCACTCCTCATTTAACAAAGGTGCGAAGTGCGAAGTATCCGAAAAAAGATGCCATCACTGGTTTTCAAACTGAAATTGGGGGATACAATAAAATGGGTTAAAGTTACGAAATACATAAGTAAAGTGCGGTTAACAACAAATTAATAAGTTACGGATTAATCAATAATAGCTGGTTAAATTTTGTTGTTCAACACTTGGTTATGATTTAATTAGTTAATTTTCAAATTTAGGGGAATCCACTAAAAAAATCCCCAAATTTTCGTATTTGTCAAAACCATGTCCACCTCAAATTCATATTAATAATTTTTTCTACTTCCACCTTTAAAACGCTCATTATCGTACATGTTTCCATGACACTAAGTGACCTTTTAAATACACATTGACAAGTTGTGGCTTTATGGCGTTTTAGTCACGGGCTGAAGTTAGTATCAATTTAGTTGTAAAATAATACTAAAAGTGAACATTATTTTATTATCTTAATAAAAAAATACAAAAGTATTAAATAGTTTCTCCACGCCAATATTTGAAAAGTTTAATGAACATTGTACTGACCTTTTAATTTCGCAGGTAGTAAACTATAACTTAAATTCGGGCACGGACTCCACTGTAAAGTGCTCATAAAACATTTTCTTTACTTTCACTGTGAAAAACTGTCTTTTTTCAAGGAATACATCTCGATTTATATCCTTCATAATCTGTTTTCATAAAATATAAAAATTTGACATTTGACGGTGACACAGAGATTCCCCTATTGTTTCATAGATGGCGCTCTAAACAAATATTTGATTTAAATCATTTTAAGATAATAATAAGTATTTGTCGTAGAAAAAGTATAGTATGCACCTCGTTTATAAACTTTTCTATACACTCATTAACTTAAGCACTCGCTCGCAAGCTAAATTAAATTCGTGTCTAAAATGGCGTTTATAAAACTTGATACATAATATACTATTTGTTAGTAAGTATATTGGTATTTATTTATTTATTGCATACATTAATATGCAATTGTAAGTACCTAGCTTTAATTGAATCGGTGAGAAAAAGAACAGTACATGTCCAAATGTTTAAATTTTAAGAAAACAAAATAAACTGTTTATTTTGTTTATTAGGATTTTTTCAGTTTTCAAAGTACAGACAAGCTGTGGTGTATGAGTTTAGACGTCCATTAAACTAAAAATCTTTTTTTTACCACGTGCATGCTTTATTATACACAAAAACTAAACTTGGACTTGTACTGTTCTTAATCTCAATAAAATTCTGACTACCACTGCGTAACATCTCCTTTATTGCTTATTACTGCCTTATCGCCGACGCGTACACCCTAGGGTGTACAAAAAGGTTTGTAAAAATAAGTTCCTTTTTAAAAATTACAAGAATTGTGGTTGAATTATTGATTAGGATTATTGATTAGGATTTTGTTATTAAATCTACAAAATGTTTGTTATAATTAAAAACTACTTATTCAATTAGTTCACAGCTTAAAGTTGGTTTTAAACTTAACATAAGGGTACCTGGATTAACATAAAATCTGGTTAATATTTGGTTAAAATTAAAAAATATTTTTTACTGTGTATCAGTTTTGTGAAGGTTGACAAATGTTTATGATCCACTTGCTGTAACTCAAATTGTGGTAATTTGATTAAAAAGTTTATGTAGATTTCAGTTGTTAATTCACACCAATTTCAAAGTCAATAACTGAATATAAATGAGCCACTGGCATGCAATGGCTTACTTTAAATTAACAAAGGCAAAGCAATTTCGACAAACAATAACCAAATTATCATATAGGTATAGTAGGGTTTACAACGAAAATAATTTCAAAGAACTTTTATACTTAAAATACACCCTTTGAGAATAAATGTATAAATGTATTTCATTTTTACTCTTCCTTCGTAAAAAAGAAACTTAAAATAAAACATATTTCATTGAAATGTCTCGACATAACCTCGCGTATTCCCATCAAACGAATGATATAGGTTGAATATTTTAAAATGAAAAAGGGGAAGAATTTCTATTTATAAAACACCTTCCTGAGAGAATTGTGTCGCATTAAACTAAATTTTATCGTTTGATAATAGAATTCCCAGTTTATTAAAACTTCGACTTTATTAATATTTATACAGGGTGGCCCATCGAAAACAGTGCAGGCTTAGTATGTGAAAAAAAACTTTGGACCCTTATACTTACTACCCGTAAACCTTGCTGGACTGATTTTGATGGACCACCCTGTATATTTAGATCTATTTGCCGTAATAGGCATTGACCGAATAAAATTCGACGGTATTAACGGGGGCTTCCTACAAGCCATAATGGCTATACTGACTCTATTAATTATCTGAAT